TCTCTCCTCTTTTTCCAAGGTGTGGTTATCTTCACAATTTTACGACTATTACCAGGTTCTGGTGGAGGTAAGAGACGTCCTGTTGTCTCCAAGAAGGCTGGGAGTGATAATTCTGATGTAAACATCCAACACGCAGATGTTCCAGATGTGAGTTTTGTATTTTTACACAGAGATAAGCAGCGTTATTAAAGTTATGGTGAGGGAAAATCTGTAGGATTAAAAGGGGTAAGATGGCCCCCTTAAGAACATTGTTTAATTTTCTTAAAAAAGAATATAAAAAATTATATTGAGTATAACTAAGTAATATGTAAATGGTAAGTACGCCTAAATGAACAAATCAATGAGCCTTTCAGACACATAATTTTTTTTATTTTTTACTGTGGGTAAGCTTACGTGATACTAGATTACATGACGGATGAATATAATTTATCAGGAATCCAGGCTAGAAGAATTTTAGTTGTCCATGTGTGCGTGTTCTCTTCGTGTCTTTACGTGCTTGGTTTTTTTTTTTTTTTTTTTTTTTTTTTTTTCTTTTTGTTCATATTACTCTCACTTTCAGGTTAAGAGTTTTGTGTTTGTATATCCTTATTTTAAAAAACACAACAAAACACAGATGCTCATTTTGTACTTTAAACGTATCACATCAACACACCTCAAAACTGTTTATGTTAATTTCCTTGAACCTGTAAAATGATTTCAGTGGTGTTTAAAGTTAAACAAGGCCACTCCCCCCCAAAAAAAGATCTGGAGAGGAATTATCACCTCTGTGGAGTATCTCAACCCAATTTACCCAAACAAATTTGATGGCAAGTCATCCAACAGTTGTTTTCTGAACTACTACACTCAAACTCATGGTGGCGCTAGATGACAGAGTCAGCAGATAGCAAACATTATTTGGAATTGTCCTCTGGAGACCATGAATATCTGTACGTCTGATGTCAATCCCTCTGATAGTTGTCCAAATAATGCCCTCTATAGCAACTGAATAGTACAAGACATCCAGCAGTAACTTTAATTCAGTGACCATCGTTCCGGGGTCACCAGAGTGCAAAGTCACATTTGCATGTGATTTGAGGAAATCTTCTTAACCCGGGGTCATTCTCTAACCTCCTCTGGTTTCTGTTACCAGCAGCAACACATTATTTATGTGCAGATGGACTTTGCTCAGTTTGTGTTTGACTTGACATTATTATGAAACTTGGATGACACTTCTCCGTTAAGCTGCCCCCGCTTTAATTTTCTGACTTATGCTAAGCCAAGCACCGTAAGGCTTGATGAAGACACGAGCCCTGAAGCTGCCCTCAGCGGATTCCTCTATTTAGAACTGCAGTGTTTGTACAGTACGACACTTTCATCACACTGAGTTGAGCAACTGTACTTGCAGGAACCGATGACTGTTTGCCGTCTGGTCTCAACAGTTTCCCAATTCTCTATCTCATAATCTGCAGACGGCAACATCCCGCTGTCTGTCTGTCTGAGCAGGAACTGCTAAAAGTGTATGGAAAGGATATAAAAAGCACATCACACCATTTAAACACAAAAAAGATAAAGATATAAGGCGTCTGTTCTTGCGACACTGAAACCCTTCAGGAACGTCGCTCCTTCCCCCAAAGGCCAGATGAAGAAGTGAAAAGATGATATTTTCAAGTGTTTATTCATCACAATCAAATAAGAGTTTGAGAAGGCTGCTGCTTAAAAATTTTGCAGCAAATATGTCTAGCATAGCATTTCATTTCAACTTTGAAATGAAATGTCTCACAAAAGCTCAGTGATGCGAGGGGCCTTTTCAGCCACAGTGTTTGCAAATTACTTTAAGGAGATTGGTTCCTGCCATTGCCTTTCGAGGCAAGTGGTTTCCTTAGTGCCAGGATAAATAGAAAGGGGAGAAAGAGCAGTTTGCCCTTTCTCTCTCTCTCTCTCGCTCTCTGTTTCTCTTTCGGTCTCTCTCTGGTATGTGAATATAGATATATATATTTATATATATAGTACAGTATACGCTTGCTGACATAGACATTCGTCTGCTTGTGTCACTCGGGTTGAAACTTACACCTTGGGTTCAGGGTGATGTATTTTTTCCATGAGAGAAGTTGGTAATGTGGCAACAAGGGAGTGTTTGTTTAAAGGGGTGGAGTATGAGCAGCTCATGGAAAGAGAAGAGAAGAGAAGAGAAGAGAAGAGAAGAGAAGAGAAGAGAAGAGAAGAGAAGAGAAGAGAAGAGAAGAGAAGAGAAGAGAAGAGAAATTAGTTTCTATTTTTTTAGATACCCACTGCCACATAACACCCAATAACGTGGAAAAGCACCACTGACTCACACCAACGTCATGCTGAATATTTCCATATTTTACATAATTTATACATGATGACTGTGCTCACTGATTGTTCCACAGAGGGTCCATGAACCACTGAAGGCCTGTTAATGTTGACATCTTTAGGCTGTCTGTACCACTCCAGGCACATTTTGTGGCCTCTCTTTATTTTAAAAGTCTCTCTCCAACTGTTGATTAAATCCCTAAAAACTAATCTCTGAGTACTGAGGTTGTTTTCCATGGAAATAATCCCCTTCTGTCTTAAAATGGCTTAAATGTTACTCTGCACTGTTGCTTCTTCAACAAGGTGCATCTCTATTAAGTTCCTGTTTCTGTCTCCACACACACACCTCCCACTTCGCTTCAGCTCAAGCACACCAGCTCACCTGTGACTCTGTTAAAACACCGTAAAACTAAGCTGCAGTACAAAGCGGCCAATACTTGAATATTTCATGAAATATTCAAGTATTGGCATCTGCAGATGTTAGATTCAGAAGACAGGACTGGTTCTTTAGGTTTGTTACGTATAAAAATCCAGATGTCTAAATCTGTCTTTGAGCGTCATATCAAGGTAGGAAAGCTCAGCCCTGCTTATTTTTGCTCATATTATGTCTTAAAAAAACACCATAAGGACACATTAAGTTGGTTTTCACTGGAGAGGGCCTCTAAAATCCTGTCTGAACATAAAAGACAGCTCGCCTCCTGATAGTTGAGAACTCAGCTGTCGTATGCATGTGTGCACATCAGCCTTGTTACACTGGCTCCCAGTGTGTCTTAGGGTAGATTTTCAGATTTCTCTGAGTTCTCCGGCTTCCTCCCACAGTCCAAAAACATGCTGAGGTCATTCTGAATTGTCCGTGGGTTTGAATGTGAGTATGTTTGTCTGTAGCCCTGTGATAGACTGGTGACCTGTCCAGGGTGTCCCCTGCCTTCACCCTAAGTCAGCTGGGATAGACTCCAGCCCCCCCGCGACCCTAGTGAGGATTAAGCGGTGTATAGATAATGGATGGATGGATGCTTTTAACCCTTTATCGGGCAAAGAGTCATATATGGTATCTTCCACAGGCTTTAGAAATGGCAGGGGGGAGAATCACTTCATCCAGCCAATCCACAGAGGTCAGCCTACACAGTCACTATGGCCTCTGACCATCCATCCATCCATTATCTATACGGCGCTTAATCCTCACGAGGGTGGTGGGGGGCTGGAGTCTATCCCAGCTGACTCAGGGTGAAGGCAGGGGACACCCTGGACAGGTCACCAGTGTATCACTTAGAGACAGACAAACATACTCACATTCAAACCCACGGACAATTCAGAATGACCTCAGCATGTTTTTGGACTGTGGGAGGAAGCCGGAGAACTCAGAGAACCCGTAGAGAAAAGCCCCTGCTGCACCGGGAAAGTCCACACAGAAAGATCCCAGACATCCTAACTGGGACCTTCTGGCTGTGAGGCGACGGTGCTATCCCCTGATCCACCGTGCAGCCCAAGTCTGATCAGTGATTTAGAAATAAATCTTCCTTCATCTTTATATGTGTATTTTTTATAATAATTTATCCACATACCAGAACACACTTAGAGTAGAAGCCTTTTGTCTGTTCCAGGGGCCCGGCTAAAAAACGCCTTCCTTAATGCAAGGCGTCTGATTTTCACATGTAAAGAGACGAGTTGTAAAAGATCTGTCTCAAGGACACCTCAGGCCTTAAGGAAGGAAATAAACAAACTTGTTTACATGCTGAGATTTAAGTTATGTTAATACTCTGACAACAGCAAACATCTCAGGCAGGTTCAAAAATCTGAATCCGTGGGATGGAACAAATTTGTACAAAGTACATGTCTATTGTCAAAGACGAACTACTCCTCAAGCCAAACTGATTACTTGCATCAAAGGTTTCTCAGCTACGGCCATCAAAGCGATGATGAAAATTACATGTTCACGAAGCTCACTGGAGGCAGAGGAGCTTAGTAATTGACTTAGCAGCTTTCGGTTTTGTTTAATTACACAGTTTACACCTTAAGAAACCTCCCTCCACCCCTTTATTGACTTGTTTCCCTGTAGTATATCGCAGCAACTTTTTGTGCGATAAAAAACGTTGCAGGATGCTAAGATGTCATGCTCTAAATGTGAATACACCACAAACAAACCCGGCTCCTTTTTGTTTTGCTTGCGATCCTCGCATTTCACAGCCAGTTCCACAGCTCCTATGGTGTGAGCAGGCACGGTGTGTTGACACTCTGCAGAGGAGATCGGGAGCTTTGTTTCCCCTGACATGCACGTATGCTTAACGCGTTGGATGTGCAGACGGTGAATTTCTGTGAGCATATATTGCCACAGCGGTGAACGGAGCAGCCACAGAAACATAATGACTTCATGTCAAAACTTAAAGGCTCTGTTACATTTAATTTAAATTAGAAATGGAAAAATGAGATCCCACGAAGCTAGAAAAAATACTTTATTTCTCTCCCTGTCATCCTCCACAGTGTGCTTTATGGGCTTTATTGTTGTATCTCTATATGTCAGGATAAATTGTGCATGCAGAGCAACCGACAAAACCCAGCCAGGCACATAATTAAAATAAAAAGAATCACCTCAGCATTTTTTTTTTTTCCAACAACAAAAACATGTCTTAAATATACAATGTCATGCATAATTGCTTGGGATCTAAAAGACGGCGTTATCGTATAGAGAGCTCTCTGGGAGCGCAGATTTGCTGCTCAAACAGATGACAAATGCTTCCTCTGATCACAGAAAACTGAAAAGGAGAAAAAGCAAAACATATATGTTTTTATACTCCGTCCCCTTTGACTCCCGCGGCTAATTTACATAGCGCTGAGGATAGAAAATATGATCTGTTCAAAGCGGGGAAAGGCTCAAAAATACTGTCTAACAGGTGTCGAGGGGAAAAAAAAGCACGACCGCGTTAAGAGAAAACAGATCAGACGCCAAAGCTTTCATATACATTTATAGCACAAGGCTGCGAAAGAAATCACCCTTAGTGCTGTGTGATGGATTTGAAAACTGATAATTAGCATCAGTTACTCATGGTCAGCTGCACTGAACGCAGCCGGCAGGCAAATGAGACGTAATGAATTGTAAAAATGATTAGCATTCATGTCTTGATAATTGAACTTGTTTAATAGGGACAGGGAAGCATTTTTATTTACTTTTTTTCCCCTTGTCGCTGTAATTATTCTGGTAAAATCCTATTCCTATACCCTAAATCTGTATCCCAGCAGTTAGTTTAGTACAAAGACTGGAAAAGGAATGGCGTGATGCAGGTCAAAGGTCAGAAAAATCCACCTCCTTTCTCTGCTGGCTGCCAAGAAACGGACTCATTTGAAAAACTTTAACGTATGATTCACATAATTTCGTGCTCATCAAACCCTTGGGTGACCCCTCGTGCCCTGTGGATGGAGGCATTGTATTCCTGGAAGGCACCACTCCCATCAGGATAGAAATCATCATGGGATAAAGGTGGCCACTTAGAATAACTCTGATTTGTAGTGAGTCTTTCCTCCAAAGGGATAAATGAACCCAAACAGTGCCAGCACAAACAGGATCCCCTCACTGTACGGGCCAATGTTTTGTTTTTTTCCCCCATCCGTCTGCAAAACTTATTAATAATGATAGTGAAACTAAACATCTGCTGACATGAGAGTGGCTCCTAACTCCTACTAAGAAAGCAAATACAGGAAGAATACTTTCCAAAACTAATTAGTCTCCCCATTCTTTTATCTGCTACCCTCCCTCCTGTTATCATTATTATCATGCTGTTGTAAAGCCTGCCGCCGTCACTATTTAAAAATAAACAACAACAAAAAAACGAACCCTCTCGCTGACAAATGCAAAACCACAATGACATGTTCAGCAAACCCAGCAAACGTGTCAATGTTATTTCTTGGCAAACCTTTCAGTCGAGGCGGTTGCACTTATTAGTCATCATGCTTTGCTGCCAAGGCTATTATTTTTTGCAGGGCGAGCTCTCACATTAAGCCCAACATGTACATTTTCTCTCTCTCTGTGAACATGAAGACAGAAACCCCCGGCTTCCACGTGGGGATGTATCTGTCTGAGCGGTAGCGAAATGAGCGGAGGCCTGTTTTCCCAGCAGCACTTGAGCAAGAACTTAGTGCCAGAACAAGTGAACGCATAAAGATGATGATGATGATGCTGAGACGCGTCTGCTTAATTGGGCTTAGAGATGTCATAGACTTTCAAAAAAAATTAGCCTTCGGGCGCGATTCCCTCGAAGCCCAAATAGTTTGATTATTTCGGAGGTTCTCTTCTTCTTGAATATTTAAAAAAAATAATGTGTAAAGTCAAGCAAGTTTAAAGTAACTTTAAACGCTCTTCCACATAACTTTGAGGTGCATGAATGTGCTGCGGTTACAAACATTATTAAGTATTTGTCAAACCTTTAAGAAATCAAATGGTCCAAACAGACAGTAGAGCAAAAAGACGCAATAATCAAGTGATTGCTGAACACCAGCTCTTAATAGACCCCATTATTATATATTTACTGTATGATCAGAGCTTGAATAGTCAAAAAGCAATCTGTCACATTCTTTGTTATGTTTGTCTGCAAACACATGTGTGATTGTATATTGCTTTTTAATGATTATCTAGGGCTGCAGGGTGGCGCAGTTGGTAGCACTGTTGCAAGAAGGTCGCCGGTTCGCGTCCCGGTGGGGGCACCGGAATCTTTCTGCGTGGAGTTTGCATGTTCTCCCCGTGCAGCGTGGGTTCTCTCCGGGTTCTCCGGCTTCCTCCCACACAGTCCAAAAACATGTTGAGGTTAATTGGTGATTCTAAATTGTCCGTAGGTGTGAATGTGAGTGTGCTTGGTTGTCTGTCTCTAAGTGTAGCCCTGTGATAGACTGGCGACCTGTCCAGGGTGTCCCCTGCCTTCACCCTAAGTCGGCTGGGATAGACTCCAGCCCCCCGCGACCCTAGTGAGGATTAAGCGGTGTATAGATAATGGATGGATGGATGATTATCTAAACCTTCCATTTAATCCTTGGTAGAAAATTAACTGAAACACAAATAAGATAAACATATGGAACGTCTGACAGCACCTTAAAAACTGATTTTACAAACAGATTTAATGCCATTTTATTTTGTTGTTGTTTGCAAATAGAAAAAAAAAAGGTGGTGTGGTGGTTCCTATCAAACATTTAAATTAATTGCAAATAGTGGCCGAAAACTACTAAACTACACACATCGCTTCAACCGGACAGATTTATTTGCATAAGAATGCCAAACTGAAATGTTCAAAGTGTGTTTGCTCACCCCTGTCGGTGCTGCATCCCTCCATGATTGAATATTGATCAACTTATTAAGAAACTTGATAAACAGCTATTATTCTTAACCTCGCGTGTGGGAGTAAAAAGTAAAAAGTTTTCACTTTTGCGTTCACTGATGTGCAAAATATTAATAAATACAGAGCCAGGAAACATTACAGACTTCTACATTGTCTACTAAAAATGTTCTTTTGAATTATAGATTGTGCTTTCAAGGCTCATTTGACCTGAATAGTGCAGAGGATAAAGTCCATCTCTTGTAAATAGAACTTATCGCGTCAATAAAATAGACAAAAGAAGGAGGAGAAAAAAAATCTAAATGAAGAAAGTTAAAGGTTTCTTTCTGCAGGCGGTGAGTTCAGTTTTCTTTCTGGATGTTGGTGCGTTTTGCTTCAGAGAGTGAGAGTCAATCACACTCTACATTGCAGCCTGAATGTGAAAAGTAGGCAGTAATACAGCTATCTGAGCACTGGGCAGACCTCAAATTGGCTCTCGCTCCCAAATACAGACGCAATGAATTTCACATGGGAGCTCTAAGAACAAAGTGCTCTCAATAACACTGTTCTTCTCTCTCGCTCACACACACACACACACACACACACACGTACACACAGACACACACACACAGACACACTCTTGCGGGTGCTTGTCTCTGCCCGTTTCTTCCATTATGTACCACACGCATAAAAACCTCATAAAAATGCTGTAAACATCCTCATAAAACCACCACACATGACATCATACAAACACAAAGTGACAAGAGTATATACACTGTTTACACATTTCGACCCAATCCCTACGACGTGAAGTCCTTCCTGCTACTTTGACCGGCGTCTTTAGCCTCCTTTGAGTCCGAGACAGTTTTCCAATTTTGAGACGCTCCATCAGCTCCGCCTGCCACCTGGGTGAGCGATGTCAAAATAAAGGATGGATTCCTACACCATGGCCAGAGCGACCCTGTCAGGTGTCATCGGGCTCGTCTTGACGGAGATCCATAAGTCGTCGTTGTTGGCTGAGCCCTTTTTCTTCTTTGTTTCTGACCTTGAGGTTGCCATAGCGTCTCCACAGCAGCAGCAGCAGCCGTTGGCATGGCGACAGCAGCAGCAGTGGCAGCACACCACGACGGTAGTGAGGAGGACCAGCAGGGGAAGAGTGAGGAGGACCACCAGGCACACCGTGTTGTAGACCCCCTGGTTGTGTTTGTCCGTGGCGAAGCTCCAGAGCTGATTGAAAAAATCCTGGATGCTGTCCGTTTTCCCGTCCATGGCTCCGGGATGCAGAGCTCCTCGTCAACCGAGACTGTCTGGCTGCGGGCAAAGTTTTTAATAAATCCTTCAGAGAGCTGTGAGGTTTATAGGACAGTAAATGTGTATATTAGAGACACCAAAGTAATGAAGATATGATGTTCATTTGAGTTGAAAGTCCTTTTATGGGATCTGGAGCTTGTTTCAAAGTTGTAAGACATCAAGTTTTACTCAACGAAACACTCAATCAGTCCAACAGCTGTCAGATTGAACTTTCACGTGCTCCCTCTACTCATGAAAATCCAAGTCGAGATAGTTGCCTTGAGATACAGTTCTATCTGATGGAGCTATGTGCTTGGACTGAACTTTGAAGCCTCGTTTTACGAAGACCAAAGCATCTTTTAAAGAAGTTCCAAAAGCTGTTTATAAGAGCGCTTTCTTTCTTTCAAATCGCCCAGCTGCGATGAGTCTGATCTTGAGGAAATCGCCAGAATCTGCACTTCAGCCAAGTTTGTTTATACAGGTCGACATCCCGCTAATTGCTTTCTTGACTTTCCACTTGTCCTCGTGCCCTTTGGCTCTTGGATTGGCTTCAGAAAGGTGGTTCGATGATGGTGTGTCTGTGAAACCAAAAAAAACAAAACAAAAAGAGAGAGAGAGAGAGAAAGTTAACATGGACAGAAATTTGGTTTCAGGCAGCTCGTCCTTCGCCCGTTTTCGCTTTCCCTCCCTCCAATCCATCTTTCTGTCTCTTCCTTTAACATCTCTACTCCTGCTCTCTCTCCCCCCCCACCTCCTCTTGTCAATGTCAGCTTTGGATTTTTTTCAGCTTTCCCCTCATTAATATTGCAGAGGAGTCATTCAGGATTCAGGGCAGATCTCTCTAAGAGTCCCACTGAGGAAGACAGAGGCAAGGAGAGAGAAAGAGAGAGGGATGGAAAAAAAATTGAGGGAGATTGTGTCTGAGAGAAGGCGAGACAGAGATAGAGGTAACCAATCTTCCTAAGAGTCCCACTGAGATGGAAAGTGCGACAGAGTGTCAGAAAAAAAAAGAGAAGAGGGAGCGAGGCAGGCCAGAGAGAGACCTGCTGCTGGAGATTCGTATGAATACATCCAACTAATGGTTCCCATTGCAGGAGATAGGTAGAATCTGCCCTAAGTTCTCAAAAAATGTCACATTTTTTTCCCTTTGGCCTCAAATAAGATCGCTTTTTTAAACAGCTCTCCTCCAGAAGAAAACATGAAGTGAGGAGCTTCTGGAGAAGGTCTGCAAAAGGAAAAGTCAGAATAAAAGTAATATTGTTCCTTTCTGCTCTGAGAGTACAAACTCTTTGATTAAGTCGGAGGCCTTGGGCAACATCTTTTTTAAATGGTGTTAAACAAGTATAGTTTTTCAAATGGTTTCAAACACCATTTGACTCAAGTACGCTCCTTAGAGTCTATGTAGCTTTCGGCTACAGAGCTTCTTTGTATTCAAGTTGCAGGAAAGGGGGGAAAAAGAAGATTTTTCATCTCACATTTGGTTGCTTCTTAGGCAAAGAGAGAGAGAGAGAGAGAGAGGAAGATGCACCTGCAAGTGGAGAGCAAATAGATTTGGTGTGGCTGTCGCCGTGCGTTGCGTCTCATGTGTGAAATTAGTTTACCCGCAGACAGGCTGCTAACTTCCCTCCTGCTCATTTGCTCAACAGGAAGCTAAGCGCTCAGAGCAAAGTCGTACCTGAAACGTCAAAGCGAGAGTTCACAAAGTCTCATGTCAGAAAAGAGAGCCCACCGAAAATACATCAGCACTTTTGATTCCTTTTGAATATTTAATTAAATATTTTTGGGGTGTTTTTTTTGCATTAAATTTAAAAACAAGCTCACACACACATCGATCCGCCTGTTTTTTCTGCACATTTTTTTGATTTGTTAATGAAAAAGTTGTTTTAAAGTAAAAACAGACAAAATTAGAAACAAGGATAGAATCAAAATGAAACAGACTTTGTAGTCAGTCTATGAAACTTCAATGTTATTGAACGCGCCACTGATGAAAAGAAAAATGGCGGCGGGAAAAAAAACAAAACATAAGTCTCATGTGGGCCCTACCACCAGCTCTACATCTCACGAACCAAAACATAACAGCAGAGAACAGAGATGAGAGTTAATTTGCACTAAGATACGACACATTATTAATCCCACAGTGGGGAAATTTGCATTGTTACCTCTGGGTGGAATTAACAGTATTTCACGCAGTAATGTTATTGCACAGATTCCTTCATGGACTACGAAGAAGGCAGTTTGTCGTGAGCCATGCCACCACCACCACCGCATCGTTCTCCATTAACTATCGGCTACGAGCACATGCTGTTGCGATGAAGTCGGGCTGAGCTGCAGCACCTTTGTGTACACTCTGATCCCCCCTCACATTATGAAAACACCGTCAACAGGACAAGCCAGAGCCGGCCGAACAATAAGAGGGACGCAAAGAACAGGAGAGCAGCAGCAGCAGAGATGTTATCAGCTGGCTGCAAGAGAGAGAGAGATGACTAACAATGAATCAGTGGTAAAGTCATTAAACGGGACAGATAAGTCACTCGGTGTTATGATAATTACAGTCTGGGACCAGGAATTACTGTAAGTTATGTTTATACGTGGGTGAATTATAGTTTTTTGACGCTGACAGGTTTAATGTAAAAATGATCTGAGGGACTTTTTGTGTTGATAGAGTTTCATTTTCATTTTAAAACAGAATACTTTCAGGTAGCTTTACACTTTTGCTCACTATTGTCATTGCCAAGCCTCTCTTTCTCAGCAGGCCATAGCTGTGAGGGTAACTCCGGCTGTTTACACTGCTGATGACGCACGTCTGAGCACGGCCTGGTTTGTGATTTAAGCGAAACTGTTGATTCTGCAAAGAGAAAACACCCATATTTCACAAAAAAAGCGCGTTTTTACACAAGACTCCGGCTTTTTAAACGTTTCCCTTCTTCGGGCTGCCTCACCGAGATGCCATTCTAAGACTCCCACCGGCTTCTTCACTTTCTCATGACTTTGTTTTCTCCTTGAGCCATTCATATACAGGAAAAGGCCATTTCTAGGAGGGTTTTGAGGTGGTGGGGGGGACACAAAGCCAGGAAAGGGCTGAGAAAAATGTTATGATTGCACTCAGCAAGCCTCTGCTGCCCCTTTTTTTTTTAAGGAACATGTGCGACCTAAAAGACAAAAGTTGTGACAGAAGGCGAGGCAGGAATCTTTAATGACTCGCCCCGAGCACGCGGTCAGAGCAGATCCCTCATCAGTCACCGTTAATAGACAGCATACTTGGAAATGTTTAGTTTGACTCGAGTCATCTTCCATTTAAACAAAAAAAGCAACGTTTTTTTCCTGTTTTTTCTTTTCCTTTTTGCGGAAGAACACAGGAGCTATCTTGGAAGTGTGGCTGTTTTGTTCTGGCAGCAACAGGCCTGCTGATAATCTGGAGAGGAGCAGTTTTCTGCTGTGAGCAAGTGCACAAGCCCGTTACAGTTCAAGACTTGTGTCAACTCGATTTTTGACTCAGTGAAATGAGTAAAGTGGAGGTCGTGCTCACTGTAAGGGATGAGGAGAGCCTAAAAACCATCATCAGAGATTCTGATAAATTACAACCTTCGTATTCATAAACTCACACAAAGATAAACGACATGGTTTGTTTCTAAGACAATTACAAGAGGACATGCGTGACACTCCGGAGGACTCAAAGGCAGGAAGAAACCTTATCAGTTTATCGTTGCTACTTGTCAAACATCCTGTCAAATCCAACCGCTGCCAAAACAACATATTTTAAAGCGGGGTCTGTCACACAAGTAGCAATTTTACCTGGAATCACAACAACAAAAAGCATCAGCAGCTTTCATAAAGACCCACTCAGAGCGGTGTCAAACTATTTGCCGGCATTCAAGACTCTCTTTGAAAGTTACCTCGCAGGCACTTGTGAAGTCGCAGGTCTCCCCTCCTGTCTAATCCAGTCAGCTGCTCAAACTTCTGTTGTTTCTGATTTGGCATCTGGCTTCTGCTCTGCTCTGGTCCCCCTCACCCAGACATCTTGACAAGTCTTCACTTTCTGTTCCTGTTTCCCTCTCTGCCCTTGTTTCCCGTCCTCCTCCTCCTCCTCCTCCTCCTTCGCCTCCTCCTCTCTGTGAGTGTGTGTTTTGGTCACAACGTCACTGCACCCTGCCCACTTTGTGTAAGAATGGGCCCTCTGTCTGTGCTTGTGTGTTTCCTGCACGGCGCGCTGGATTCTTGCGGTCGCTTTACTTTACCCACACAACAAGCAACCCATGACATCAGATAGAGAGAGAGAGGGAGGCAGAAAGTTAAATAAACTGAGTAAGAAAATGTGATGTGAAATTACAGGAATGCTGCGTCAAATCCCCTCGCATGCACCGATCTGAAAACCTTGCAACACTACGACACAAGTTGCAGGCGAGGTTGACCGCTTCTTGCATAACTAAATGGCTGCTTGAACAAAAAAAGCACTCCACCCATCTCGGCACCCCTAAAACGAGAAGCAAAAGGAGAAGCGAAAACTGCACGTATACCGGCAGGTGAAAGAGTCCAACGAAAGCCAGATATGAAGGAGTCAGGTCATGTGAAGTGCACACACAGACACACTGACTTGTGCCCGTGGCGTTGTTGTCAATTCCACTTTCAGTGCAGTCAAGCAAAAGAGGGTTTTTTATTCAAGTAAGAACAAAGAGAAAAAAAAAGTGTTCCATTGACATCAAATAGCAGCTTCTTCTCCTCAAAGGGGTACTTTAGGAGTTCAAGCGCATTGACACGTGTACTGTGTGTGTGCACTACTGTACGATGCATGCTGGTGAACGGACAGTGGGCTGAATGATTCAAACATGTCGGCCTGCATAGTCCAGTCATATAAGTGCTATGAATTTCCTTTAGAAATATCACATTTTGGGTAACTCAACTGGTTAAGACGGTGACCCATGTACAGAGGCTATAGTCCCTGACATAGCGGCTCATTTGCTGCATGTCTTCTCCTCATGTTTCCCTGTCTCTCTTCACTATGCTGTCCAATAAATGCAAAACAGCTTGAAAAATAGAAAAGAAATATCACATTGTAGTGTAACTATTTCTTTTTTTTTTTTTTTTTTTACAGCATCTGTGTAAGAATTCATGGAAATAAATAATAATGGAGAAGGAATTTCCCAGTTTAAGACCCTTTGAAGTAGTTGAAAATATTAATACTTGTCCATGACCTTCATCTGAAGCATGATCAAAACTCTGTTGCTGTTTCATAATGATCTTCTGCAGGTGCTGCAGACGGAAACATCTTGTCGGATGATCTCAGAAACACCCTTCCTGACCATCTGACTGGCTGAACATGCAGCGTGCTCTTTTGTAGCTACGGGGCATGGTTACATGAAAATTGATGAGACAAGCCTCACCATGTCTGCAGGTGTGTCTGAGCCATCTTAGACAAATAGCAACCAGGCGTTCACACACACACGCAAGCACACACACACAAGCACACACACACACATACACCACACACACACACACACACACACACACACAGTGCCAGCACAGAGGGTGCTGTCTGCCTGGCAGGGCGTGCAGTGCTACACAGTGAAACTGTATCCCGGCTGCTGTTGGGGCTCGACGCTGTCCAGTCACCCCGAGCAGGAGCTGATTAATGACCTCAGTGCAGCAGCTCTCCCCCTTGATGGAAATCCTTCTTTCCAGTAGTTTATATAAAAAATGATTTCACTGTATTAAGGTTAAGGTGTCTTTTTTCCATTTGCTGCCTTTGATTGCTATTTAAAGAACCTGCATGTAGAAGTCATCTTCTCTTTGCATGAATCTACTTTTCTTTTTTTTTTCTTTTTTAAATGATCGTTGAATTATATCTTCCCTTTAACCCTTTACGGGGCAAATGACCATATTTGGTAACTTCCTTGGACGTTCAATATGTCCACCCTGTGCCTCTCCTTGAGGTAGAATAACCTTGTGCACTTTGATTTAGTTTGTCACTAAACAAATGTTTTAGGCCCTTTTGTTACTGGTTTGCATTGAGCTCCACTTTGATTTATTTTTAGAGATTAGTGCTAAAACCACAACCCCAAGAAAAATGTGACTAGGGGGGGTTGAAATTTTCATCTTCGAGGTATTTCAAGGAGTGCCCTATAAAGGGTTAAGGACACCGTATGTTCAACTTCTACTGCAGTGACTCATATACGTCCCATTTCCTCTATGGAAACCCCACTCTGGATTTATACTGCGTTGACCCTGTGCTGAAATGGGTGTAGCTCCCATCTGGTTTATGGAAACCTTTCCAATGAAGCTCACCTATGAGGGGGAGCTCAGACAATATATCCCTTTATCCTACTCGTGTCTGTAGCAGAACAAATTGCAGGAAAGACCACTGAGCTTACACCGGATCACTGATCATACAAATGGTGAGAGCGGGTAAAAAAAAAAAAAAAAAAAACTGTGACATTACCAGCAGCGTTAAGTAAAGCCTCATGGAATTACTGGCCTGTGCGAAAGGGCATTACCAATCACCATGACCTACCGGTTCTGCCAGCGCACAGTGAAACAAGCGCGAGCATGAACCCAACACTGTGCACTCTGTGAGTTCTTGAACGCGGGCGCTAATGAAAAGTGACTAAAGCAGTGTTGTAGTGGAATCTGACAAGAGTCCAGAAATAGCCCGCTAATAAAACCAGTCCCCCCCAGAGGCAAACCTGAGCAGTGATTCAGTCCTGTAAAATGTTCGGGCCCAGCGCTGTGACAACAGACAGAGAGCAAGACGGAGAAAGACATGATTAGTCTATATAAGGAATTGCCTCTTGCTCTCAAGAAAAGCTGCAGTTGAAAAGCTATGGGGTTGGCATGTAAACGTAAGGCTTTTACAAGGGCAACTAATTGCACATTCCAGCTATGAAGTCAGCCTGCTATTTTAACATTTAATTATGTAATAATCTCAGCATAGTTCTCATATGACACACACTGTACTCTGTACTGGACATAATGTTAAACATCTCTCTCTTGGCTTGTGAGCAAAGAGAAGTTTGGCCTATTCTGCTGCATAAATAAATAAAGACCAGCGCTGTCAGCTAGCTGCAGAGGAAATATTTTCCAAAGGGCTTCATTTTAATCAATGGGGACTTTCTAAGTTCCTCTTTTCTGGCCCAGTATTTCCAAATAATGAAGAAGAAGAAGCAAAATGACACACCGTGGGAAACGTGAGCCACTCGTCATGCTCAACAGTTTCACAGAGGGCTGTGGTTGTGACTTTACATGTGCCGTGCAGACACTAGAGAGGTTTTGCAGCAAGAAAGCGAATCCATATTTTCCACCAAACTATTCCTTTAAAGCAGATTAATGCTGCAGTGCATCATAAGTGCTGTGTCATTATCTTCTGCAGGCAGACTCTTGTTCCTGACAAGTAGAAATGTCTGACAGACAATCATAAGGCAAACACAGGCCGTGACATGACCTTATGTGGTCATGGGATAAGCAAGAACTACATGAACACACTTCCCCCTGCCTTTCATTTGTGTGTGTTTAAAAAAAAACAAAAAACAGAACCTTTATGCAGGCACTAAAGTAAAAGTGAAAATAAAGATAATTCACAATCAATTTCTAACATGTAGCTAAAGTAACATTTTGACAGAGCAAACAAGCTCAATTAGAGCTTTTCAGCCTGTAGTGAGATTAACAAGACATAACTTCTCTTTTAAAACTCAAAGGCACTCGACTGCTCAACCTCAATTTATGTCAGCATGGCAGTAATTGAATCTTTCGCTTACGTTGCTTTCCTTAGAGTGCCACATTTACTCATCTTATTATTATCTCAGTATCCTGTCACTCTCATCGGTAATCGCTGTTAATCAACAAAACAGACTCACCTTACCCAAAGCACTTTATGTAAATGAACATAGAGTGCTGTGATGTGTGACTGCTGCTAGCAAGAAAGAAAACACCCATCCACCTATCCACCCATCCACCCATCCGTCCATCCATCCATCCATCCATCTGTCCACCCATCCATCCGTCCATCCATCCATCCATCCATCCATCCATCCGTCAATTCCTCATTCCTCCTGGGAGATTCCAGGGTATTCACAGGCCAGATGAGATGTGTAATCCCTCTAGAGAATTCTGGTTTCACCCCAGGGCTGCCTTCCAGTTGGACGCACCAAGAAAACCGCAAATGGAAAATGCCCAGGAGGTGTCCTACCACCTCAGTTAGTTCCTTGTGACAAGATGAAGAGCAACTGTACTCCAGTATCACTGTGGATGTCCGAGCTCCTCACACAATCTCTAAGACTGAGGCCAGACACCCCATGGAAGAAGCCATTTCAACCGCCTATATCCATAATTTGATTCTTTCTATCACTACTTAGCATGTGTTACCACAGATGAGTGTTGGACAGAGACCACTTGGTAAATATCCAGTACAACTCCCTAATGGCTGTTGATGAAGTTGCACCAGTCCGTCTGTCTCCAGTTCCATTTGTCTGCCACTTGTGAACAAGATCCTGAGACACTTAAACTCCTTCACTTGGGGCGCCACTAAACCAGAGGGGGTAATGCACCACTGAGAACTACAACCTCAAACTTGGACATACCATCGCCTCCTGGTTGTTTCACACTCCGCTGTAAACCACCCCATGTGCATGTTGGAGATCATGCTGACACAAAACAGAAACATGTCACCTGCAAAAAAGAGAGGCGCAACACTGGGGTTTCTTAAACGAGACACCCTCCTCACTTTGACTGAGCCTTGAGGTCTTGCCCGTGAATATCACAAGCAGGACTTTGTGCAAAGAAGACAAGCAGAGCCCTCACTTTGGTTGTACAAGGACTGGCTGGTTCATCCGCTCCAGTACCCCATACTTCTGCAGTACCGAGAAAACTTGACAACCGAGATGCGCCTTTAAATTTGTGAGCATGTACTGTTGGTGTCGACCACCATGCACTTGTGTTCAAACATCCATCCATCCATCCATCCATCATTATCTATACACTGCTTAATCCTCACTAGGGTCATGG